CCCACTACAGTTCATGCGAGACACATCAACATGTGAATACACATCCACTGCAGCAGCAGTCTGAGAGACACATCAACATGTGAATACACATCCACTGCAGCAGTAGTCTGAGAGACACATCAATATGTAAATACACATCCACTGCAGCAGTAGTCTGAGAGACACATCAACATGTGAATACACATCCACTGCAGCAGCAGTCTGTGAGACACATCAACATGTGAATACACACCCACTACAGTTCATGCGAGACACATCAACATGTGAATATACATCCACTGCAGCAGTAGTCTGAGAGACACATCAACATGTGAATACACATCCACTGCAGCAGTAGTCTGAGAGACACATCAACATGTGAATACACACCCACTGCAGCAGTAGTCTGAGAGACACATCAACATGTGAATACACATCCACTGCAGCAGTAGTCTGAGAGACACATCAACATGTAAATACACATCCACTGCAGCAGTAGTCTGAGAGACACATCAACATGTAAATACACATCCACTGCAGCAGTAGTCTGAGAGACACATCAACATGTGAATACACATCCACTGCAGCAGTAGTCTGAGAGACACATCAATATGTGAATACACATCCACTGCAGCAGCAGTCTGAGAGACACATCAACATGTGAATACACATCCACTGCAGCAGTAGTCTGAGAGACACATCAACATATTAATATAGATCCACTGCAGCAGTAGTCTGAGAGACACATCAACATGTGAATACACATCCACTGCAGCAGTAGTCTGAGAGACATAACATGTAAATACACATCCACTGCAGTACATGAGAGACACATCAACATGTGAATACACATCCACTGCAGCAGCAGTCTGAGAGACACATCAACATGTGAATACACATCCACTGCAGCAGTAGTCTGAGAGACACATCAACATGTGAATACACACCCACTACAGTTCATGAGAGACACATCAACATGTGAATACACATCCACTGCAGCAGTAGTCTGAGAGACACATCAACATGTGAATACACATCCACTGCAGCAGTAGTCTGAGAGACACATCAACATGTAAATACACACCCACTGCAGCAGTAGTCTGAGAGACACATCAATATGTAAATACACATCCACTGCAGCAGTAGTCTGAGAGACACATCAACATGTTAATACACATCCACTGCAGCAGTAGTCTGAGAGACACATCAACATGTAAATACACATCCACTGCAGCAGTAGTCTGAGAGACACATCAACATGTGAATACACATCCACTGCAGCAGTAGTCTGAGAGACACATCAACATGTAAATACACATCCACTGCAGTACATGAGAGACACATCAACATGTGAATACACATCCACTGCAGCAGTAGTCTGAGAGACACATCAACATGTTAATACACATCCACTGCAGCAGTAGTCTGAGAGACACATCAACATGTGAATACACATCCACTGCAGCAGTAGTCTGTGAGACACATCAACATGTGAATACACATCCACTGCAGCAGTAGTCTGAGAGACACATCAACATGTGAATACACATCCACTGCAGCAGTAGTCTGAGAGACACATCAACATGTGAATACACATCCACTGCAGCAGTAGTCTGAGTGACACATCAACATGTAAATACACATCCACTGCAGCAGTAGTCTGAGAGACACATGAACATGTGAATACACATCCACTGCAGCAGTAGTCTGAGAGACACATCAACATGTGAATACACACCCACTGCAGCAGTAGTCTGAGAGACACATCAACATGTGAATACACATCCACTGCAGCAGTAGTCTGAGAGACACATGAACATGTGAATACACATCCACTGCAGCAGTAGTCTGTGAGACACATCAACATGTGAATACACATCCACTGCAGCAGTAGTCTGAGAGACACATCAACATGTGAATACACATCCACTGCAGCAGTAGTCTGAGAGACACATCAACATGTGAATACACATCCACTGCAGCAGTAGTCTGAGTGACACATCAACATGTAAATACACATCCACTGCAGCAGTAGTCTGAGAGACACATGAACATGTGAATACACATCCACTGCAGCAGTAGTCTGAGAGACACATCAACATGTGAATACACACCCACTGCAGCAGTAGTCTGAGAGACACATCAACATGTGAATACACATCCACTGCAGCAGTAGTCTGTGAGACACATCAACATGTGAATACACATCCACTGCAGTACATGAGAGACACATGAACATGTGAATACACATCCACTGCAGCAGTAGTCTGAGAGACACATCAATATGTAAATACACATCCACTGCAGCAGTAGTCTGAGAGACACATCAACATGTGAATACACACCCACTGCAGCAGAAGTCTGAGAGACACATCAACATGTGAATACACATCCACTGCAGCAGTAGTCTGAGAGACACATCAACATGTGAATACACACCCACTGCAGCAGTAGTCTGAGAGACACATCAACATGTGAATACACATCCACTGCAGCAGCAGTCTGTGAGACACATCAACATGTGAATACACATCCACTGCAGCAGTAGTCTGAGAGACACATGAACATGTGAATACACATCCACTGCAGCAGTAGTCTGTGAGACACATCAACATGTGAATACACATCCACTGCAGCAGTAGTCTGAGAGACACATCAACATGTGAATACACATCCACTGCAGCAGTAGTCTGAGAGACACATCAACATGTGAATACACATCCACTGCAGCAGTAGTCTGAGTGACACATCAACATGTAAATACACATCCACTGCAGCAGTAGTCTGAGAGACACATGAACATGTGAATACACATCCACTGCAGCAGTAGTCTGAGAGACACATCAACATGTGAATACACACCCACTGCAGCAGTAGTCTGAGAGACACATCAACATGTGAATACACATCCACTGCAGCAGTAGTCTGTGAGACACATCAACATGTGAATACACATCCACTGCAGTACATGAGAGACACATGAACATGTGAATACACATCCACTGCAGCAGTAGTCTGAGAGACACATCAATATGTAAATACACATCCACTGCAGCAGTAGTCTGAGAGACACATCAACATGTGAATACACACCCACTGCAGCAGTAGTCTGAGAGACACATCAACATGTGAATACACATCCACTGCAGCAGTAGTCTGAGAGACACATCAACATGTGAATACACACCCACTGCAGCAGTAGTCTGAGAGACACATCAACATGTGAATACACATCCACTGCAGCAGCAGTCTGTGAGACACATCAACATGTGAATACACACCCACTACAGTTCATGCGAGACACATCAACATGTGAATACACATCCACTGCAGCAGCAGTCTGAGAGACACATCAACATGTGAATACACATCCACTGCAGCAGTAGTCTGAGAGACACATCAACATGTGAATATACATCCACTGCAGCAGTAGTCTGAGAGACACATCAACATGTGAATACACATCCACTGCAGCAGTAGTCTGAGAGACACATCAACATGTGAATACACATCCACTGCAGCAGTAGTCTGAGAGACACATCAACATGTGAATACACATCCACTGCAGCAGTTGTCTGAGAGACACATGAACATGTGAATACACATCCACTGCAGCAGTAGTCTGAGAGACACATCAACATGTGAATACACATCCACTGCAGCAGTAGTCTGAGAGACACATCAATATGTAAATACACACCCACTGCAGTTCATGAGAGACACATCAACATGTAAATACACATCCACTGCAGCAGTAGTCTGAGAGACACATCAACATGTGAATACACATCCACTGCAGCAGTAGTCTGAGAGACACATCAATATGTAAATACACACCCACTGCAGTTCATGAGAGACACATCAACATGTAAATACACATCCACTGCAGCAGTAGTCTGAGAGACACATCAATATGTAAATACACACCCACTGCAGTTCATGAGAGACACATCAACATGTAAATACACATCCACTGCAGCAGTAGTCTGAGAGACACATCAATATGTTAATACACACCCACTGCAGTTCATGAGAGACACTTCAATATGTAAATACACACCAACTTCAAACAAAATGGTGGCACCCAGTCAAGACAGTCTGATCGATAATCAAGATCTATGTTGTGATAAAACAGGTCTTACATCGCCAAGTGCATCAAATCACATGAGCACCTTGATTTAAAACATGAAAAGATTTGAAAAATATGTGTTGCCAACAAGTTGGCAGTGCACATGCTTTGCAAATCCTGCAATCGACCAAAATCTGCATCTCATTTTACGAAACAGAATTTTGATTTTGTTGCACTCTTTTGATTGGACTATGCACAGACTCGTTAGTCCAGCCAAACTGTAACTTCGGCTAGGGTGGAAACTGGACTTTTATAGTCAGTTAACTCCCTTGCCTCAGGAAGATGGCATGGATTGGGAAACAAGGGAATATGGCTAAGAATGGAGGTACATGTATTATCCATGATCTGATCAAATGGTCAATTCCCTTCCACTGATTTACCCACCTGAACAAGAAGTAAAATAGGCCAGCCAAACCCCTTCATGTGTTTCATATTTAGGTCTAAAAACATAGATTTAGAGTGACAAAAACTGTCCACAAGACTGTATGAGAGGAGGAATGACTTCCACTTTGCCTTTATGTCCAGCAATACTCCGGGTCCAGCCACTGAGGTCAACATTTCTCAACGTTTGAGGTACAATCAAGCATGCCAAGATTTTAAACTCTTGTGAAGAAATGGTTCAATCAAGGTTCAAGGTCTCAGCAAAGCTTTCAAACTGTTTATGGTAGATATGTGGGGGACATGTTGTTGCAACAATGACAAGAATTTGTGATTTTGACTGGAATCCTATGTTCCTGTGTTTGTTCAGGTGAACAACTGACTTGCCTTTGCATGTGTTTGTGACAGGTGCCACCGGTGGGGCATGACACGCTCATGTTTTCATGAACACCTGTTATTATCACTGTTTCATAGTGATTTATAAACACATTCTTATTCTCACACCAAAACTAACCTTGTGATCCTCTACATGAGTTGTCTCCCCTTCTTGGATAATCTCCCCTGTGAAACTCTCCTGTTCACAAAGGTCACGTAACTCATCCTCCAGTTCACTAATATCTGCCTGGTCCACGTCAGCTCCGGAAGAGAAGCTCTCTGACGCCTGGGGGAGGCGTATCTGTCCAGGCAGGCCTGGGGGACGATGCTGACCACTATGCTGTGTGCTGTGGTCAGTGGAAAACAGCTGGTCGCTCAGCAAACCCAAGTCTGTGCTACAGGGGGAAACAACTCTATTATAGTCTTCACACAGCTGCAAAAACATTGATGGTCGATAACCACTTCACATATTGTAAATGAGAGACTGAATGTTGCTCAATGTCTGCAATAGTCAAACTAAACCACAACGGCCCAAACATATTATAGTGTTGGACAGGCAAACCCATGTCTGAGAGCAAGACCTGCACCTTCGGGTATGAGGCACACTGGCCACACATCACCCAGGGCCCTGTTCCACAAAGCGATCTTAGTGCTACCATTGTCATAAGCCATGATTGTCGTGGAAGTTATGATCGTCTTAGCGCTAAGATCGCTTTGTGAAACGGGACCCAGGCCTCATTAGTCAGCCCCTGGAAGCCCTGAGGCCACGAGATGCCAGTACCAGGGCAGCTCTTGAGGCAGCCGTGTTGAGGTGGAAGGTAAGGGGGCAGGTCAGAACTTCCCTTGGTGAGTGTGGTTGTTAGGTTGATGTCATGTGGCTGTGGAGATCAGTAGTTAGTTGTGGAAAGTGCACGTTGTAGTGGTTTGTAACAATAACTGAAGAAAGGTACTTCTTGTTAAAAAGCCCTTTTATTCAGACCATGTGGTCAGCATGGTGGCCATCTTGTTAAAGCTCAAGGGAGAGCTCTCTCGTTGGCTTAGCTGCTAGAAACTGCTTGGGTATGACTACTTAATATAGATTAATGGACTTCTGTTGACATTAACACTTATCATTACATCTCCCTTTCTAAGTTGAAATTACCATTATATAAACTCTGAATTAAACTGGTAACAATGTAAACACTTAAAAGCCTGGCTAAGCACATCAACAATAGATAAGTTTAACTTCTTTTCTTTTTTTATCAATGAGTGCTTAAAATGACACATCATGTCAAATTGATCATGTTCAGTTCCTTCCTGATGAGTGTCTCTTCTTGTCATTCAGTTTGCATATTTATGATGGCTTGCCATTCTCTTAACTTTAGAACTTAAACTAAACTCAATTAAAGTCTCTGACAAAAACCTAGTCTACTGAAAATCAACTTCCGAAACATGAAACTTTAACAGTTCAGAATTCACACATCACTCGGTTTCGATCAGACGAGATGGCTTGTTGATGACTCGGCCAGATCGTGTTGTAGTACCACTCTGATGTGCTTCGGGAGTTGTCAAGCAAGTTGTAGTTGTTGTTGTTATTGCAGGCTGGTTAGTTGTAATGCGAGGTGTGTTGTCATGAGGAGTCAGGAGGAGATCACAGCGATGTCGTCTCAGTCTTCCACCTCCCTCTGTTTGCACAACGTAAGATCTTGGTGCTACCTTTTGCACTATTGCACCTTTTGTTTTCCAGTCATTACTTGTGTCTTGATACACTCTCACACTGCTACCTGGTTCTAACTGGGGTAGAGGTAGAGGAGATTCTTTCTGGTCGAAGTGGTACTTTTGTTCCTCTTTCGAAACCAGCTTGTGTTTGATGACTTGATCTGGATCAGGTGTACTTGACTGAAGGAGATCTTTCTTCAGTGGGAGATTGGACCTGATTGTCCGATTCATTAACAGCTGTGACGGAGAGAAACTACCAGCTAGAGGTATGGTACGATAGGCGAGCAGTCCTAGATGAGGATCTTCACCACTGTCAATGCACTTTTTCATGATGTTTTTGACAGTCTGGACTGTGCGTTCTGCAAGACCGTTTGACTGGGGGTATTTAGGACTAGATGTAGAGTGTTTAAAGTCCCATTCAACAGCAAAATCTGCAAATTCTGCACTCGCATAACATGGTCCATTATCACTGAACAGTTCAACTGGTGAACCATGACTGGCAAATATGGATCGTAGTGCTTTGATAACGGCTTGGCTGGACTGATTTGGCAAAGCAATGACTTCTTGGAAGTTAGAGTATGCATCCACAACTAATAGATAGTCTTTTGAGTAGAGTTCAAAAAGATCAGTGGAGACATACTGCCATGGCTGAGCAGCTACTGGGTGAGGTGATAGTGGTTCAGGTTGATGACGATGACGATAGTTCAAGCACGTCTCACATCCACTTACCATGACATCTACGTCATGATTCATTCGAGGCCAGAATAGAACTTCTCTAGCTCTCTTATTTTTCTTGACCCAGATGTCCTGCATGTACTTTCTGCAACATCAGTTTCCGCATACCTTTGGGCACGATGATGCGGTTGCCTTTGAAGACTACTCCGTCAATACATGAAAGTTCATCTCGATAATTCCAGAAATCATCCAGGTTTCTTGGGCACTGTGAATGTTCATTAGGCCAACCTGACAAGATGATTGCTTTTAGAGCTGTCATTTCTGGATCTATGTTGCTTTCTGCTCTGATCTGTGCAAATCTGTCGGTTGACACCTGCACTGTTGACAAGATACTGTCAACATACATTTGTACATCTGCTTCAGTTGTACTGGTGGGTGATTGATCACTAGAAAAGTTCCTTGACAGGGTATCTGCTGCATACATCTCTCGACCAGGAGTGTACATTACCTCCATGTCATATTTCTGCATGCGAAGACGGAAACGTTGAATGCGTGGAGGACAGTCATTCAGAGCTTTCTTGAAGATGGGAATCAGTGGTTTATGGTCAGTTTCTGCGAGAAACTTTCTCCCATACACATATTGAGTGAACCGTTCAGCTCCAAAACACATTGCTAGTGCTTCCTTCTCGATCTGTGCGTAGTTAGTCTCTGCAGTGGTCATCGCCCTTGACGCATATGCTACTGGCATCCATGCATCTTCATGTTGTTGCAGCAGTATGGCACCAAGTCCATGTTTTGATGCATCTGTAGACACTTTGATGGGTTTCTTGGTATCATAGAATTGAAGAACCGGTCTTTGTGAGATGAGGTTTCGAAGTTCTTCCCATGATTTGTCCTGTTCATGAGACCAAGACCAATGACTGTCTTTTTCCAACAGCTGCCTAAGTGGTGCTGATTTTGTTGAGAGGTCTTGAATGTACCTTCCTAGGTAATTAACCATCCCAAGGAACCGTTGCAGTTCCTTCTTTTCTGTGGGTTTCTGAAGAATCATGATGGCTTTCACCTTGTTAGGGTCTGGTTTGAGTCCATCAGCAGAAATTCTATCTCCCAGGAAGGTAAGCTCTGTGACACCCACTTAACATTTCTCTCTATTCAATTTCAGACCACTGTCTCTACACTTCTGAAGTACTGCTTTCAGTCGCTCGTTGTGCTCTCTGGTGTCTTTACCAAAGATGATCATGTCATCCATACTGGTGTCTACACCTCTAATGTGCTCGAAGAGTTGATGTATGGTCGATGATACACTTCTGGCGCACTTGAAATACCAAATGGGAGTCTGAGATAACGGTATCTCCCAAATGGTGTGTTGAATGCTGTCAGCATTGAGCTGGCATGATCTAGCTTCATTTGCCAAAAGCCTGAGGAGGCGTCCAGCTTGCTAAACACTTTAGCACCAGCAAACTGCAACATCACTTCTTCATGAGTTGGGAGTTTAAAGTGTTCTCTCTGAACTGCTAGATTCAAATTGCGAGGATCTAGGCATATTCTCAATTTCCCTTGTTTCTTGTGTACAATCACCATCGAACTAACCCATTCAGTAGGTTCTGTAACCTCTGTGATCACTCCAAGTGATTTCATTCTGTTCAACTCTTCTTTAAGTTGATCATGGAGAGCAAACGGCACTTTTCTACAAGCTTCTATGACTGGTGTGACTTCTTTGTCAACTGTTATGGTATGTTCACCAGGCAAGCATCCAAGCCCTGTGAATACATCTTGATATTCACTTAGAATATCTTCTGGCTTTTTAGAATTCTGGCTGTTCAAATTTTTCTCATCAACATTGATTTCGTAAACTCTACGAACCAAGTTCAGTCTCTCACAATCCTCCACACCAAGGATACATCTATTGTTGTCTGGCTTTACCATGAATACAGTCTTGTATGGTTTACCTTTGTAGGTGACTGTGAGCTCTGCCTGTCCTTCAACAGGTATGTCAAGTCCACCATAAGCTTTTAGGCTCATCTTAGGAGGTTCTAATGGTGGCTGGTATTTTAGTTTATTCCACTGTGACAAGCTGATGAGGTTCATGTCTGAGCCGCTGTCAAGTTTGAGGGGTACCTGTGTTTCATTTATGTCAAGTGACATCATCCAAGCCTTTGAGTAAGAGACCCTCTGACTGTCTGTATCCACAACATCAACAAAGAATTATCTTCTGGTGGATAATCACATGCTTCTGCATCAACATCATAGACACGTCGGGATCGACCTGAATGAGATCTACATTGTGTAGCAAAATGTCCGAGAAGACCACATTTCAAACACTTTTGACCAGATGCTGGACATTTCTGTTTTGGGGTATGATTTCTTCCACACCGTCCACAAAGCTCTTGTTTTACTGTTTCTTGTTTACTTGTTTGCTTGTAGTTCATTTTCTGTTTTGGTTTTGACTTTGGTTTGGATTTTATGTAATGAACTGCACAATCTTCACATACTTCTTTAGCTTGACAACTTGCCATTTCTGCAGCATGACATGTGTCTATTGCTTTTGAAAGAGTTAATCTATCATCACGCAGTAATTTCTCTCGATAAGCACTGTTGTACATGCCACACACTATTCTGTCTCTAACCAAACTGTCTTTGAGTTGTCCAAGTTCACAAGATTTAGCTTTTTGTTGCAATTCACTAACATACTGATCTATTGTCTGGTCTGCCTTTTGTGAACATGTAAAAAATTTGTATCTCTCAAATGTCACATTTTTCTGGGAACACAGTACTGCTCAAATTTTTCTAAGTTTTTTTTCAACTTTCTGTTCATCTTCCTCTTCAGCCCATTCAAAAGAACTCAAGGGAGAGCACTCTCGTTGGCTTAGCTGCTAGAAACTGCTTGGGTATGACTACTTAATATAGATTAATGGACTTCTGTTGACATTAACACTTATCATTACACACGTACAATGTCTAATGCTGTTGTGGCCACAGATCATAACCCAAAGTGTGATTTAGAGTTACCTCCCTTGCAAAC